ATCCCCACCTCGTTCTCCACATCGTTCTCCACCTCGTTCTCCACCTCGTTCTCCACCTCGTTCTCCACCTCGTTCTCCACCTCGTTCTCCACCTCGTTCTCCACCTCGTTCCCAGCTGGCCGAGTCTAACACTATGTAGTCTCTTTCATGGACTGATCGTCACATGGGCGCTGGGAACTTCCCATTAATCGCCAAAACAGAATGCGCCCGTAAAATACTTTTACGTCGCCCTGTGTTCGTTTGCCGGCAGGCTGCGATTAATGACGGAAATTCCACAGGCTCGAAGTATAAGTATCAATCTATTGTCCAAATTAAACTCCTCCCTTTCCTTAGTTTTTACCCAACCCTCAAGATGATGGCGTAAGCTCCGCCTCCGGAGTACCTATCAAATCAAATTGGCTAACCAGTGACCGGTCACTCACAGTGAACGGCCTACAGTACGACCTTGACCAAGATAAAACATTCCTAATTGCCAAACACCTGTTCTCTCCAGAATTACACTGACGTGTTAAACTTTAAACTTCTCGGCTCCACCATGTCTAGGGTCTACTCAATTCCCCTGTTCAAAAGGGCCCCGCTCAGTCTCTACAGTCTGGTCAGGAGATAGCATTCTGACACTGGCGTGAGAATCCAACCTCACATCCCTAGTCTGAACCAGCGGGCTGTATTACGTAGTGTTAGGTAATTTTAAACAAAGCGCAGTGGCTTTGTCTGGGAGAAGGACTGGTAACATTTAAATCAATTTGGTTTAAAGTAATATTAGGGTAAAGGGCAGAGTAAATATAATCCTCTCTCTTTAGAACCAGAAGAACTTATTACAAGTACTAACTTCTGGAATCACTGAGATCGTCTCGTGACATCCATTGACAAAACAACTGCACTTCTAGTGTTGGTCTGTTTGTGTTGGCAGATATGTCAGCTGCCTTATGCATTTAATACATGTGTATGCTGCTGGAGTTGCTAAGACTGCGGTATGTGTCCATTGTTTTTTTTTTTTTTTTTACAAAGGACAGTAGTGGACATTAAGTATGATTTTCGCGGGCACAGTAACAGAACAACTATCGGGTCACCCCTTTATTCTGAAGTTGGAATGCCATTACCTGAAAAATCATTAGGTATTTATGTTTGGCCCTGACAGAAGAAAAGAAGTCCCTTGATGTTTAATTGTACAACTTTAGCTTCTTTTATAATATACAACTTTTGTTGGATTTTTAAATTACGCAAAGCTGACAGCAATATTAGTCTTTTGAGAATCCGTCTCCACAATAAAGGTTGGCTGCAATGGATCTGCAAAAATCACTGTCTTTCCTCCTTGTTGTACACTCTCCGAGACCGCTGCAACTTCTTTTTACTGTTCTTTCATCTGCATACCTGTTTAGCACGTGCTCGCTTACCTTCATTTGTTCCTTTAAGTGCGGATTTAATAAGTTTAATATCGTTTAATAAGTCTCTTTCTCTCTCTCTCTCTCTCTCTCTCTCTCTCTCTCTCTCTCTCTCTCTCTCTCTCTCTCTCTCTCTCTCTCTCTCTCTCTCTCTCTCTCTCTCTCTCTCTCTCGCTCTCTTTAATTTTGAGAAGTCTTTTTTCATTTAAAGTGTCTTGAACTACTGTATTGTTTTTGTTTTTTTTTTAACCTAAGAAATACATACAATTTTTTATATTTTGTGGATCCACATATTCAGAACCATAGGTCAACTTTCGAATTTCTTGTTTATTTTCAGTTGTAGCTGTACTAGAATATACTTATTTACACAATTTGCAAGAGTTGAAAAAAAAAGATAACATAATACACACAAAAATTATTATTCATCAGAACAGTCAGGCCAACCTAACAAATTTATGTGACAGTTTAGTTCTTCAGTTGCCAGATACATTCAATACTAACCGACTCATGACATGTTTATTGATCATCCATTATATGATGTATATTTGTTCCCTCATCTAGTGAAAACCTTATCTACGTACAGCCCACTTGTTACCGAGCTCTTTCTGTTTAGTGTGGTTATTGTTTGAGCCCGTTTGGACTCCTGATTTATTTATTCTTGTTGAGAAAAAAAAAAAGCAATTCCCTGAGACAGGATGAGTAAACGTAACACAGTTCTGAGTTTGAAGAAGATAAAGTATCAACTAGCAGCTTTCAGAGTAGTTAGTGAACTTTTGTGGGCTTTAAACGAAACAACTGACATACCGCAGTTTCAGTTATCTTTATCAGGGACAAATAAATATAGTCATAGTTAGCAGTGAAGGCTTATGCAACACATAATAAGGATGCAAAGTACTAACTAAAAACACAGTCAACTTAGAATTATTGACACAACTAATTGAGGTTAGAGGTTTGAACAACGGATCAACATTATGGCACACGGGTAGTTACACATAAGTGCTCCGTTCTACTTCTAATTCGGCTTCAAGTCTGAGTTCAAAGTAGCGCAGCACAGTGCACCGGCTCTGTAGCACTGGCGAGAATCATGAAATATTTCAAGCAAATTTTATTTACAAATATTGCCCGGACAGAGCCGTAAAGCTAGTCTTTTGATTTCTAAACGCCAAGGGATTTTTTACGGGCACAACAATACACATGGGCGTCCGATCTCACTACCCAGAGACCAGGGGAAATTACTAGAAGTCCACGTGAACATAAAAAAATCCAAGGCTTCACTGGGGCCTGAACCCGGGATCTCCATCACTCGAGGCGGACACAGTACCTCGAGACCAGGCAACCCTCTTGTAAGTTGAATGCTGTCTCTCTAAAATCAAACGCTATAACTGTTGGAAATCTGTAGTTCATTTCACAGTTAGTCTAGATGTAATCAGTGTGCAGTCTATTGCGAATGTGGAATTTTCGTTGTCATAATTAATTGTGGAACGCCACAGTTTATAAAGAAAGTTAGGAGTTAATATCATAACTAACTGTAAGTGGGTAACGCGACTTGCCGACAAAGAAAGCTAAGAGTTAATATAACAATCAAGGTTGTGTGGTTCGGATAATACACGTATCAAACTGAAACAGATATTAAAAGGGCGTATAGAATTTCCCGTAAACGCCTCAGTGCGATTTTGTCAAAGGAAACCAATTTCTAAGAAACCACTTATTGCATGACCTACATACGACAGATAGAAACTGTCGTCTGGGTTTTATTATTTACGCTTTGGGTGGCTTTATAACGAGCAGCTTTCTGTTGTTTTGGTTTCAGTTTTGCCCATGCTATTGACACTGATGTGACGGTCATGTACGTGTAAGGTACGTATGGTGGACATTTTATGTACGGTACTTTTATCTAATTGCACGCATTTGTTTATTATATATATATATATTTATGTTTCAGATAACTTTTTGTGTGTGTTTAGTTGCATATTACCGATGTTAGTGTACTGGAATGTCCTTGTTAGATAGGTTGAAAATTATTGCTATAGCTTTGTTAAAGCACTAGTATGTCCTAGTTAGACATTTTGCAGATTACTGTTATACCCTTGTCAGTGCACGAGTATATCCTTGTTAGATACGTTGCATATTATTATTATAGCCTTTTCAGTTCACTACTATGTCCTTGTTAGATATGTTGCAGATTATTGTTGTAGCCTTGTTCGAGCACTAGTATGGCCTTGTTAGAAGATAGGATGTATTTTACTGCTATACCTTGCCAGTGCACTAGGGTGTCCTTGTTACATAGGTTACACAGGTTGTATGTTATTGTTATAGCCATGCTGGTGCTCTAGTGTGTCCTTGCTTGTCCTGGACTGATTGCATCACCGGAGTAACAGGTTTGCAGTCATCAAGATACCCCTACTAGCGGATATCTTCCTCGATGGTTCAATATAGTTTCTGAGATTTTCACTGCTTAATTGAGATAAAGGATGCAACTCTGTCATTTACAAGAAGAAGAAGAAGAAGAAGAAGAAGAAGAAGAAGAAGAAGAAGAAGAAGAAGAAGAAGAAGAAGAAGAAGAAGAAGAAGAAGAAGAAGAAGAAGAAGAATGAGGAGGAAGAGGCAGAGGCCAGCGCCATAGGTTATGGACTTGAAGAAAGAAGTGCTAAACATTCAAACAAAATACATCAACATGTCACACACTTTAGTGGAATTATAGAAGATTTAATTTCCAGTAAGTTTTTGTCCACTATTGTTTCAGTAATGACATCCAGTAGCCATTCTCTGCATAACCCTATGGGCAGGAGTTTCGAAACGAGATGTGACAATCAAATGATAATCGCACCATCATCAGAACTATGCGGAGATCGTGACTGTTGTTAAAATCATAAATCTTAAAAATGACACTTTACTATTAATTATAACACTGAAGACCGTTGCTAAAGTCTGTAGGGAGATATCTAATAATAAGGCATACAGACTGTTGCCATTTTGATCGACATGCATTAATAATAATAATAATAGTAAACTGCACTTCAGGAAACTGAGTATGCCAGCAGATGTGAAAGACTGTTGCCATAACCGCCTCATCTGTTGCTGTTCCGGGATAAACACAACTTAGCCAAGAAAGTGGTAATATTTCGACCATCATCAAACACATTCAGTGGACGCAAGGTCTGAAGTTAGGACAACAATCAAGAAACATGGAAATAATTGGCAAGTCTGCCGCGAAAGAAGAAGATGTAACAGTTGAACATGCCAGAATGTTGCAGGAGGAGTTAGATAGCCTGTCTCTGGGAAAGACACTTCGACTAAAACGTGGATACTTCGCCAACTACGAAGAGTGGTTCAAGGAGTTTCAATTCGTTTCAGAAATCAGATCTTCCGTTTAACTCAACGGATTGTCAGTACAACAAATATTCTGGCACTAATAACTCTGACAAATGTACACAGGAAAGCAGATATGATTTGCTAAACCTTAAACCGTTTAATTCCGTGAACGATGGGGGAAAACCCGGCGGCGAAGAACACGTAATTGCTAATCTTCATGAGAATAGAATCCATAACTCGTCAGTAATTCGACAAGAAATCCCCAGTGTTTCGTCTAGCTCGGAGGAAACCAGCAAACACTTGAACATGACTGGCCAACTGGAAGCCGAAAGAAGTAACGAGCTACAAAGTGAAGATCCTTGGAAGATTATGACACCACGGCTGAATCCACAGCTGATTAAGCAAAATGACCAAGAGAAACCTATTTATGATAAAGAAAATAACTTCCACTGCGAGCTCGTACACAATAACCAACAGTCTGCGTTGAAGATTCTAAACCCAAATGATCTGGAATCTTTCAAACACCAAGATAATGTGGCGACCTGTCACCACACGGTGAGTGACTCAAGATACAACGCTACATATTCTCACTCCAGGAAAATAAATCTAGCCCAGGCTATGCCTGAATCCGAACAACCAACTTTTCCGAAACACGGAGTGCAGGATATCTTGAATGTCAGGGATAACATCACTTCCACGCAATGGCTTAAGCTAAATCACAGCTATGCAGAACAAATCAGACAAATGAATGCACACGTTTGTTCCAACGCTGACAACAATAAACTTGCTTCAGCTACCAGTGAATGCTATAAGGACAAGGAAAAGACTAAATGTGGCAGTAGTAACTTTTCAAACGAGGGAAATGATGCTCAAACTGTCGTCTCTTCCGGGAAACATCTGACAGTTCTCACTTACATTCTGTCAGCGGCTGTGCTTGTACTCACTATCGCTGTCATGCGTCTACACGTGAAAATAAAGTCCCTTGAAGCCAGCAGAGATGTGTTCAACTCAAACTACCAGTCTGGGGAGGTAAGATGCGACCACATGAGTTGTGACAAACCAGTTTGGGGAGGTAAGATGCGACCACGTGAGTTGTGACAAACCAGTTTCTGGAGGTAAGATGCGACCACGTGAGTTGTGACAAACCAGTTTGGGGAGGTAAGATGCGACCACATGAGTTGTGACAAACCAGTTTGGGGAGGTAAGATGTGACCACATGAGTTGTAACAAACCAGTTTGGGGAGGTAAGATGCGACCACATGAGTTGTGACAAACCAGTTTCGGGAGGTAAGATGCGACCACATGAGTTGTGACAAACCAGTTTGGTGAGGTAAGATGCGACGACTTGAGTTGTGACAAACAGACAGATATACTGACTGATATTAACAAATACAGATAGACAGACAGGCAGACTGTGTGAAGATGCATGGTAAATGACAATGAGACTGAGATACTGGAATACAAGAATAATCTGGGTTAGCAAGGAGGAGGGAGGGGTAGGTTGGAGACAGCAATAGAAACCAACAGATAAGTTACAATAATCAAAGACTAAACGAATCAAAGTAATTAAAATAGACCTGACACACGCACACCTCAATTATAACCAAAGCTACAAACTCGGACTGAACCTGAACGTCGTGGACATTTTTTCTTCTTCTTGTGATCTTCAAAATTGTCGTCAGGTTACATAGAGACGTAGACAAAGAGTCGCACTAACACATAATATACAATGAAAATATTTTTTTTTTAAAAGCTATTTAATTATCATTTTTGTAATAAGTCAAGTGCAAATTATCATAACCATCACTATCATCTGTCTTGGGGGGGGGGGGGGGTTTCGATAAATGGTGTCCGCCTCGATGGCTAGAGGTTCCGGGTTCAATCCCCGGGAAGTGCTATAATATTTTCACCAGACTTGGACTTCTAGTAATTCCCCCTGGTCTCTTGGTAGTGAGATCAGACGCCCGTGTGCATCGTTGCGCACGTAAATAATACCTTGGCAGCTGGAAATCGAAAAGAGTAGCCTAACGGTTCTGCCCGGGCAAATATTTTAGTTACAAAAAAAAAGTATTTCAGAATCCTCGACAGTGCTACAGTGCCTGTGCACCGTGCTGAGCTTCTTCGGACTCAGACTTGAGTTAAAAGAAGAACCGAGTACTAATGGGTTACTACACGTGTGACATGATGTTGATCCGCTGTTCAAAGAAAAAAAAAATACATCATCTGTCTTACTGGATGGCAAGGCGCCCCAAAAAAAAAAATATAAACACTGAGGAGGGGTTTAGAGTGGCGGGGTCGTTCAGTCCGCTTTTAAATTTCAGTTAGTTTCACGATAGATCCCCCCCCCCCCCCCCCAACCGAGATCGCCCATATACACACTAGCTTACTTCTGATTGGTCGACCATGAGCCACCCGTCCTTGGCACAAGGATATCGCATGTTCTATATTTCAGTCAGCCAGCGCTTTTAACACTATAAAAACCTGCAGAAACTGGGTCTAACAAGCATCCCCTCAATAGAGTGCTGCAGCCTATTTCCCAGGCATTCTCTTTCTCCAAAGAAAAAGATAAATGCAAGACAAGCCAGAAAACAAACAGAGCGACACACCCGTAACTTTCACGAAAGCACACCAGTCTAAAAAAAAAAAAAAGGTTCTGAATTGAACGCAACCTACTTTCTCTGGGAAGACTAACATCGAACTAAATTAAATTTCTAGTCAGGGCTTGGGGGGTATCGCCTTTTCTAAGTACGCATATAAGAATGATGACGATGAAGATAATTTGTTAGCACTTTTCCCGTCTTTTCAGGCGATAGTATTCCAGTGTCGGCTCTGTGGCTAAGTCGATTCGAACGCTTCGTAATGCCGGGGTTCCGGGTTCGATAACAGCTGCAGGAACCTACGCCGTGCGTTGGTTTCGACAGTGGTATAAGGGAGCTGACCGTCCAGAAGCAATGGCAAACTACTGAACGTAAATTTGCCAAGTGAAACCACACAACAGCCAGGGGCCGATGTGGTTAGTTCTGCAACGTCCTGTAAAGGATACGCAACTAACTAAGTATTCCAGTGTGCTGAAGGCAGGCATGATTTTCACAGTTCTTGGCGATACCAGTGAAGGCTAGGGTTGATGTCCCTCTTTCCATGACCTACAGCCTGGGCAGTATTGTGGTGACTGTGTGCTAATAGTGTCATGCAGCATGTTGTCTCTCAAATAATAATAATAATAATAATAATAATAATAATAATAATAATAATAATAATAATAACAATAATGTGCTGAATTGGAAACACGTATAATAATAAATATATTTTAAATAAGATACACACAAATACTCAAAGAAAGAACTTCTGAGCATGGTTGGAGTGTGTTGCTTAGCTACTCTTATCAGACAAACTGTTTCCCGTGTGCCATGATGTTGATCCGTTGAATAAACAAACAAACAAACAAACATATAAATTTTCTTGTGAGAAGCTTAAAGCACCTGAGCCACCAGTCTCCAGCGCCCCTGGATAGGCGATCATGACTCTGTGCAGATCTTTGCCTTTTGTTTTCGTTATATTTTCATCCCCCCCCCCCCACCTTTTTTTTTTTAAAACACCCCTGCCTTAAATCGGCTAGCACGATTGGTTTCGTCCTGCCTATACCTGAGGCTGCGAGACGTTCCAGTTGTCCTGTGTATTCGTGTATGTGTTATGTGTGTGTCTGTGTGTGTGTGTGTGCGCGCGCGCGCGCACGAATGTGTGCGGGTGTGTGGACGGGGTGGGTTAAACAGAGACAAGAAATACAGTTCATCTATTCATATCTACGGTTCTTTAAAATATATTATATATTTTTCAGTATGATGAAATGAATAGGTACTTACTGGTATAACTGTAATATTTGACATCTTTACAGAAGCAAGCAAAGTTTGTGGATAAGCAACTGCTGGGAACTACCAACACACGAGAAACAAACGAGAAACTCGCGGCGCTGTTCTTGACACCCAGATTGGGCATGACGAACACCGAACAAGGAACTTATCAAAACAACGACGACAACACTGATCGATCAGACGCCGACGTGCAGCACACGAAATTCACCAAACAGTACAATAACCCTCATGCTTTCCGAAGAATTATCACCTATATGCCCACATCTACCAAAGAAGCGAAGACTGAGGTCGGACTCCATTACTACTTTAGGAAACTCCTCCAGGCAGGAAGTGAGGCAAGTCTCAGACTATTTCATGTCTACTGATACCGTCAAAGGTGAAACCCTTGATGTCGGACACCACCCAGCGATTCTGTCTCGTGTTGTCCGATCTGCTTCAGGGGACCATCGAGGAGGTGATCGTCGACAAAGACATAAAAAGATGAGAAAGGAATTCTGCAAAGCTTTTAAAAATTGTACGTGCATTTTATTCTTCTCTTTAATTAATTTTTTTTAAACGCATGAAGTTAGTTGCGAATCTCTTACAGGACGTTGCAGAACCAACCCCAGTATTTTTTTTTTTTTTTTTTTTTACTGCTGTGATTTTTTATAGACACATTTTACGTTCAGTAGGTTGTCTTTGCCTACTAAAAGGTCAGCTCTCGGTACCACTGTTGAAACCAAGATGTTACGGTCAGCTGCGGTACCACTGTTGAAACCAAGATGTTACGGTCAGCTCTCGGTACCACTGTCGAAACCAAGATGTTACGGTCAGCTCTCGGTACCACTGTCGAAACCAAGATGTTACGGTCAGCTCTCGGTACCACTGTTGAAACCAAGATGTTACGGTCAGCTCTCGGTACCACTGTCAAAACCAAGATGTTACGGTCAGCTGCGGTACCACTGTCGAAACCAAGATGTTACGGTCAGCTCTCGGTACCACTGTCGAAACCAAGATGTTATGGTCAGTTCTCGGTACCACTGTTGAAACCAAGATGTTACGGTCAGCTCTCGGTACCACTGTTGAAACCAAGATGTTACGGTCAGCTCTCGGTACCACTGTTGAAACCAAGATGTTACGGTCAGCTCTCGGTACCATTGTCGAAACCAAGATGTTACGGTCAGCTCTCGGTACCACTGTTGAAACCAAGATGTTTCGGTCAGCTCTCGGTACCACTGTTGAAACCAAGATGTTACGGTTAGCTCTCGGTAGCACTGTTGAAACCAAGTTGTTTCGGTTAGCTCCCGGTACCACTGTTGAAACCAAGATTTTACGGTCAGCTCTCGGTACCATTGTCGAAACCAAGATGTTACGGTCAGCTCTCGGTACCACTGTCGAAACCAAGATGTTACGGTTAGCTCTCGGTACCATGTCGAAACCAAGATGTTACGGTCAGCTCTCGGTACCACTGTCGAAATCAAGATGTTACGGTCATCTCTCGGTACCACTGTTGAAACCAAGATGTTTCGGTCAGCTCTCGGTACCACTGTTGAAACCAAGATGTTACGGTCAGCTCCCGGTACCACTGTTGAAACCAAGATGTTACGGTCAGCTCTCGGCACTACTGTTGAAACCAAGATGTTACGGTCAGCTCCCGGTACCACTGTTGAAACCAAGATGTTACGGTCAGCTCCCGGTACCACTGTTGAAACCAAGATGTTACGGTCACTCTCGGCACTACTGTTGAAACCAAGATGTTACGGTCAGCTCTCGGTACCACTGTTGAAACCAAGATGTTACGGTCAGCTCCCGGTACCACTGTTGAAACCAGATGTTCGGTCAGCTCTCGGCACTACTGTTGAAACCAAGATGTTACGGTCAGCTCCCGGTACCACTGTTGAAACCAAGATGTTACGGTCAGCTCCCGGTACCACTGTTGAAACCAAGATGTTACGGTCAGCTCTCGGCACTACTGTTGAAACCAAGATGTTACGGTCAGCTCTCGGTACCACTGTTGAAACCAAGATGTTACGGTCAGCTCTCGGTACCACTGTTGAAACCAAGATGTTACGGTCAGCTCTCGGTACCACTGTTGAAACCAAGATGTTACGGTCAGCTCTCGGTACCACTGTTGAAACCAAGATGTTACGGTCAGCTCTCGGTACCACTGTTGAAACCTCTTGATCATCTAGAACTTGTTTAGTTCTCTCCTAAATGTCAACGTTAGTGATTCTATCATATCATTTAATTCTCTCTATTCTGCGCTTGTACCAGTTAATGAATGTGTGTAGTTAATTAGTAATTATTTTAGTTACTACCAGTGCTTTGTGGTGGTAATTGCCCTGACAAGACACTGCCATGATTTGGCGCCACCAGTAGTTGATGCAGAAGTGAAAGCATTGGTGGAGGAAAACAAATCATTGGAAGATGATGTTATATAAATAGATGATGCTGTGATTCGCCAAAAGCGAAGTGCATGGGCTTTGATGGCGAGAACCAAAGAAATAGTCATCAAAGAAGACGACGGAGCATTTGCTTCTACCAGCAGCACGACAATGGAGGTCATGGCTGTGACAAAAACCCTAGAATGTCTGAAAACGCATAAATTCACCAGTGCATGCTTTCTTAGCGACACAATGAGCATACTGAAGAAGTTCAAAGCACCAGATAAGTAAAACAGTAGCTACGTCTGATACAGCACGCAGCGTTCCGCATAATCACCTTGTTTGTCCTAGTGGATGCAGGTGTGAAAGGCAATGAGAGAGCAGACACCCTGGCTGGCAGTGAGACTATTAGAAATAGGCCATCTATAGACAGGCAGAATATTATCAATGTCATACGAGAGACTAAACGCTGTGAGGATTTCAGTTTCGTTGACAATGATTTTTCACTGAATAGACTGCATACCCTGGGTGCAACAACTGGAGCCACGAAACAGGAAAAGCATGAGAGAGCCACATGTCGTTACATCAACCAAAGCAGAATGGGGGTTAGCCTAAAAACACTTGGAGACATGCTCAGGAGAAAATAGGTGCATATTAACCATTTGTAGTTGTTCTCAATTTTTCAGCTCTATACAACAGTACCGATTTGACATTAGAATTAAAACTTTAAGTTTGGTATTAGTTTTAATTTTTTTTTTTTTTTTTTACCTCCACAAATTCCCTAGTGCTATGAAAGATCCTCTTCCCTTTCGTATTCGAATATCTCTATAAGTTTTCCCTCTTTATCTACATTACTGCCCGGCTTATACAAAGTTCCCCTATCAGTTCCCATACCAGAAAATAAAAAATATAAAAACAGGTATGCTGGATAAAGAGATAGCAACAAGGGACTTCAAAAAACCTTGAATTAGTAAAGACCTTAATAGTAACCTTCCAAAACAAAGTAGGCCTTTATCAAGGCATTCGTAACTGTATGTCAATGTATGTATTCTTTCACTTCCAATAGCCACGAGTGAGTTTATGTTTTTTTTTTTTTTTTCGTTTCAGGCTCCAAAGTAAGCACTGTTTCACTTAAGCTGTAAGTAAAGGGTGAAAGAAGGGGCGAGGGTGGCAATAGTGTCGTGAGATCCCGGATGGAGATATGTTTTTGTGATGAGTGGGAGTTTGTGATGAGTGGGAGTTTGTGATGAGTGGGATTGGGCGTTTCAGAAGACAGCAACAGACTTGATACGCTCTGAATCGATATAAATTATTCGAAATCGCATTTAACACATTTCTCACAGATTTACGGTATCTGTCGTGTAATCGATGCCGAAGGGTTGTGATATCCATGGGATAGCCAAAGGGTAAACTCGTGGTTTCGAGACACACACACACACACACAAAAAACATCCTTACCTGGATCTACACACCCGATCATGCTAGCAGGAAGTTTAATGAGCGACCGCATCAACTGGCTTTAAAAAAAAACTTTAAAAAAATGCACCACCGCATACAAGATGAAGCATGGACAGAGCAGATATCAAAGACACTGTGCCGATAATGACGAATATATGACGCTAACACGACTGTGTGACATGTGGGTAAAGCATGTTGAAGCACGTCTATGCCGCCTTCGAGACCGAGACAGGAGACATTATAACCAACCTCTCATGGGAACAGTTGTTAGAATCACCTTGTAGTGGCTGCTGTAACGGAGGACTGAGCACGCATGAGAATGCCCAGTGATCGGTGACGTAGATTATGATAACATAACATAACCTGAACTTCCGGGCTTAACTTGGCCTGCCTGAGCCCACCACGTATTCTTGGAAGGAAAAATTAGACCAAAAAATAAACGTGTAGGGTTGTTTAAGCCCTACATCAGTGATTCCCAAACTGTGCACTGCGGCACCCCAGGAGCCGCGACCTCTACACAAGGGCGCTGCAAAATATTGTAAAAGCTTTATGATTAATTTAACCAAAACACAAATATTCATTCTTTTTTTTTTTTCAGGATAGGGTGACCTGGATACATTTTAATGGGAATAAAAGGCGCTGCGACCAAGAAAAATTTGGGAAACACTGCCCTACATGATAGAACCAATACTGATAATAAGGGCAACAATTTTTTGTGATAAGAAGAAGAAAAACAGTAATCCGTAATGAGTACATCTGTGATATAAAGCCGTGCCATTGACACAGATCTACAAGTGATAACTTTATCCTATCATTGCTAACTCTGCGGTGAAACGGTTAATCCATTTGCTTTGTGCTTTGAAGGCTGTGAGTGCAGATGTTCAGAAATCACTGAGAGTTGTACCTAGAGCTACAGAGTTAATGCTTTGTGTGTCGCTCCGTGCAGTTAATCAATACCTCGTCCGAGAGAGTCTTAGCCATGTGATTTAAAACTACAGTGCGTACCAAAAGTCCTGCCGAAAATTAAAAATCTGTAACTTAGCAATCGTTCTATTAAGTTGTTGAAATTTGGCACGCAGTTTGTTAACAACAGTATCTGTGTAGTCATTTATTTTAAAATGTAAATAAACATTTAGTGTTCATTTTGCTTTATGTGCGATTTATGGAGGAAAAAACCACACATATATTCGAAGCAAACAATCAGCATGCTGACAGTAACTTGAGTAAACTGGGTAAGCGGTTTTCAAAACTTCGAATTGCATGCGCGTCATAAAAGTTTCACTCTCAGGTGGTCATCACCAGCATAATTCTCCCCCAAGTTGCGGATTTTTAATTGAGTGGGGAACAGGCTATCGAAACAATCAACTCGCATCGCTGTACATGTGAACTGATTTCCAAACAATCTCCCGGCGTATGTGAATTACTTACTATATATTCTATTTTGCAGGGGTACATAAATTATTAGTCTGGCAAAGATGAAAGAAATTTACAGCTTAAAAAAAAATCTGCGCAATTGTAAATGATAGAGCCACCAGGACATGGGA